AGGTGCTGGGGGAGTCAGTGCTCATTACCCCTGAGTGACTATGTTCACACTTCAGCTGAGACTGACTTGTGAATCCTGCTGCTTGTGGCTAAACCACCACTGTAAACAAACCCTAAGATTTCACTGCCTCATTAAAGTTGTGTCTGATACTCTTACCTTCAAAAGGGTGAGCAGAAACAGGCAAGTTTTAGGTGCTTGCAAACTGGGGAAATGTAACATTTGCTGTTTTGCTGCATCTCCTCAGGATCTAAAATTAAACCTGTCTCTGCAATGAATGCAGCATAGTGTGTGCTGTTTTATTCTCCATTTCCAGATGATAAGAGGAAAGGCCACATAATAAATACTCATTTCACATAAGAGAGTAAGAAATGCTCTGCTGGATCAGAACAAGGATTTGTCTAGTCCAGCATCCTGTTTTAACCAGTGGCCAGCCAGATTGGACTAGAATGGCCACAAATGGGACAAAAAGCAACAACTAACTTTTCTAAGTGCCCTCCTCCCTCAAGTATTCCCAGCTTCTGGAATTTAGAGGTTGAACATGAGTGCAAACCTTTTCCTGATTTTTTCACAGAAATGGTTTGTTAGGTAATGAAAGCCTGCTTGTTTGTGCAGTTGGTTCTTTAGGAGGAGGTGTATACTTCTGTAATCAGAAACATACAGTGCTAAGGTCACAGCAACCCTTAAGGCTTCTGAATTTGACTTGTCTCCCTTTCCCCATCCAGGAGCACTCCGGCAGAGTTTTCCGGCTCCAGTTTGACGAATTTCAAATAGTTAGCAGCTCGCATGATGACACCATCCTCATCTGGGACTTCCTGAATGATCCAGCTACCCAAGCAGAATCTAACCGCTCCCCTTCCAGAACATACACTTACATCTCCAGATAAATAGCACTACACTGTACCTCACACTTGCACAGGTAAAAAAACAACAACACGTTAATGCAGCAGGTAGGCTGCATGGTGGATAGACATGATTTGTGAATGGAGGTTTTGCTGGTTCCTTAACTGAGAGTATTACTGAAAGCCACTGCAGATAAAGGGGTGACAAGGGTGGTTCTGTCCTTTGGCTTCTCAGAACTTCCTTGCCTGTAGGAGCATTAGGAAGAAATGACCATGTAGCTGCAGTGGACCAAGAATGAATTAATTTAAATGAGCACAAGCTGAGGAGAGAATGAAACTGAAGTTTGTAATGAAGAACCACTTCTTACTCTAGCACTCTACCTGGGAGGTGCAATTTTCCTACCTCAGCCAAGGATCAGAAACAAGTGATCAGGAAACAGGAAGGAATGTTGTGATCTTTTGTGAGGTTCCTCAAGTGCTCAACCATCACCCATACTTTTGAAACATCAGAGTGCTCCATCCAGTTTCCTGGGCACTCCAATCAGCTCCTTGCCACTTCTCAGCACAACTGCCACCTGCAACAGAAACAATGTGGAGGTGCTGTCACGGTCTCTCCCCAACATAATTTGGGTTTTCCCTCCTTGCCGCCACCACCTGTCCTACAAGATGAACGTTAGCAATAACTTGGGAAACAGATCACATACACAGGCTGAGGGTTCACACCCCCCCCCAAATGTATCCATTTTGAAAAATCTAGATTGCCTGTAATCATCTTTTGATGGTTTATAAAATTTCATTAACAAAAATGTGGATGACAAATAGTTCTTGTCTTTTCTTTCCTAGGACTCATTTAAGCTGCGATATTTAAATTACCTGCCAATGCCAGGGCAAAAGAATTATCCACATAACAGATATAACTGAAGAGAAAGGCTCTCAGACACACTTCTGGAACCAAGTCAGCGCATGGTTGATCTCGGACAAGGTCTTCTCAGCGCAGCTGACTGCTCAAGTGCTGCTATATCAGAAGATTCCTTTTATCTTTCCTGAATGACTGATGTGTTACACCTCCCCTCTTCACACACTTCTCCCTCCCATCTCCTCTCTTGTCCTGAGTGCAGATGTCCTATAAATATATTTAACATGTTGCCAGAATTTCTTGCTTCGCTCTTAAGCAGAAAAATCCTTGCCACCATTCGTTCCCATGGGGGAATCACCTTGTGATGTGTTGGTAGGTGGGGAACAGCAGGCTGATGCCTCTACCTTTGGGGACTTGTGATAAGGATGCATCTACTTTTTTGTAGATGGGCCTTGGACTTTAAAGGAGGGCCAACTTGATGCCAAATGAAGGCCCCGGTGGCCAGAAACCAGTCGGGAGATAATGATGAAGTCTAAATAATTTCAGCTAAGCCCTCTGCAGTTAGTCACTTGTCTAAAATCTTCATCCGGCGGATGCCAGTAAATGAAAGGTGAAGCCTTCTTCTGCCAAAGTCTAATTTACTTAAGAGGTGAGACTTACTGGTGACCACATTGGTGATGGGCAGTATTTCTGCTGTCAAAGTATATGAATATATTTCCATGTTCTTCTTCCTTCCCTCCCCACATGGTGCAGTATTGCACCTCTGCTCCTTGCCCCCCCCCCCCAGAAGAAGAGTATGGTATCAACAGTAGCAACCACCCTCTTCCCTCAGCACTCAGTCAAGACTTCAGACTTTTCCTGTTAACCTGATTGTGTCATTATTCGTTGGCTGGCATTTGTGCTTTGTTGCCATACTCTGTTGGAAGGGAACTCCTGAAAGAACGGGAGATTCTGATGACTCCACATCTTAGTCTGTAAGCTGCAAGGTCATTTTGTGGTGGAAGGGATAATAGTAGAGGAGAACAGTGGAGGGGTCTTAGCTAGGGACAGAAAAGACCAAAAGCAAACCTGTCCTATGGTACTACATAACCCCCCTTCATTGTGTGGGAATAGCATAACGCTTGTCTCCTACAAGGAAGGGTTAACTTCTTTGGCCAAGATTCAAATTTGGAAGTTAGGGGGAAAGAGCTTCACTTTTATGCTGCTAAGCAGGTCTCCTCTGTGGCCTGTCTCCTCTTCATTCACTTGGGAGTTGCAGTTTCCCTCCAGTGAAGTTTGGTATTTGCCATGGCGGGCTCAGAAAGTCAGTGGAAACTAAGAATAAACGGGCAGCTGGTTCTGTCCTGTAGTTCTCTGCTCTGGTTCAAAAGTGAGAGTTTTGTGCAAGTGCTCTGCCTTACCCATGGATTCTCAGCCTGCGTATCATCCAGGGCTGCATTAGCACCAAAGGCATAGTCAGAAGTATTTGTTCTCTTGGGGTGGGGATAAACATGCTGATCTTGGTCTGCTTTTCTTTTTAAGTGTTTCTTTGAGCAAAGGCAAAGGAAGTCACAGCTGCAGCTAGAAGGCTTTCCTTAACTGTGCTATCCTTCAGAGTATGAAAAAGGTTGCCTTGCACACTGAATTGCAAAGCAAGATGGAAAACGAGAGACAGATTGCCACATACTAGTTCTTCATTATGTTTGAAAGCTCACTGTCGCCCCAGCCCTGTTTCATCGCTATTACTCGGATTCCATTTATACTTTGTAGTACAGTATTGACAATGTGTGGAACAGGACTGTAGATCCACTACAACTGGAGCATCAACAGGTTATTTTCTCTTGCTCGCTGGCAGAGCTGTGAGATCAGTATTTTCTCCCGTGTGTGTGTGTGTGTGTGTGTGTGTGTGTAGGGAAGTGTCTTTGGCGGTGGCTCTGTCAAGCACATAGGAGGGTTGTTTCTGTTATGTGGAGTTGGAGATCAGATAAGAGACAATGTCATTTCTGGTGCAGCCTTTCCTTATTGTCATAACCCTTCTCTTCCCTGCTGTTGTTCCCAAACACACCTAACTGCTTTGGGGCTTTAAAACAAACAAACATGGTACTGGAGAATTAATTCTAATGTATAAAACCTGTCACCAAGGGGAAAGTAGTGAGGTTTTTTCCTGTTAAGTCATTTCAAGGAAGAAGCTGAAATGTTGCTTTTCCAATAGAAGGAGGGCCCACCATGCCTTGGCATGGAGAAAGGCCACTGCAAAAAGCAAGACCTCCTCCCTCCAACTTCTACCCCACTCAAGTTGCATGAAGTTTTACAGCCTTCAGCCTAATGCATCTCCAACCATTTGGCGAGGGCTTTGGTCTTCACTGGAAGAGAAAGGCTCTAAAGCATCTCCGTACATGGACATTTCAAGGGTTAATTTGATATGGGTAATTCCAAATGGATCTGATGCGAAAGCTGAAAAGGGAATTTTAATGACGTTTCTGAAGAGGGGCTGAGCCCTAATATCTTTCTTTGCAATGAAATGCTAACTTGGAATTGCTAATCACAAATGGCCTTGCCTTTCACTGGTGTGGAGCGGAGAGCTCCACAGGCAGGTATTTACAGAAGGAAAAGCAGCGCACAACTGGCTCTGAGCCATAGGAGAGAACCTTGCTGTAAAACTGCATTTCTAACCCTAGAGCAATTGAGTAGTTTAAATAACATAAGCTCAGCCTGGGCACCCAGCTGAATACGTAGCATAGGACCCCCCCCCCCCCCGGCAGCAACGCTAAGCCACTTTCACCGTTCCTGATTAGGCTTCTGAACAAGTTGGACCTTTTGATGACTATTTTAAGACTTTATGCTTGCTTCTGAAATTAGAAGATGGGAGAGAGATCCTGCTGCCGCCAGCAAAAAACAAACCTATTTTGACTTCATAAAAGAAAAGGAGAGTGGTACATATGTGTGTTCCCCTTCTCTGGGTTCATATATGAATCTGCCAATTTGAACTCATGTGATTGGTACCTCTCCAAATGAGGTCTTCTGGTCCTGGGGGTTTTTTCCCTCCCATGCTATGCTCAGACATGTTTAGGAGTTAACAGTGTTATCAAAAGAAGTGACTACTTGTGTGCTGTTTTCTGCTGTTGCTTCATACCAGGAAGGAACTATTCTATATACAGTAGGAGGGTAGGAGGAACATTCAGTAGTTTTTAGTTACAAAGGCTTATACGGCTTGCATGCCTTCCCAAATTCTCTTGGATTCGGGAAGAAAGAATTGGGGAAACTCTAGGTGGCACAAGGCACATATATGGTCCCTAAGTGGCCTACATATATGATGCATTTTAACAATGCTGAGCTGTGCCCTAATCCATTCCTCTTCCTTTAATCAAGTGGTCAAATTAGGGGGGCTTGGGAGGGGAGGGGTTTCCCTGAAGAAGGAAGCCTTTTGGATTTTTCCTCAAGCTGCACTTCTGGGTAAATCTCCTTTTTCTGAAATCAATCTCACATATCCAGCTGAGAGTGAGCCAACTGGTTGTGGAAGCACAATTCTCACTTTAGGCCATCATGTCCTGGGCAGTTTCCACTTGGGTTTAAATGCTGCATCCTGGGAACTGCATGCTCTGGAAGCAACACTTCTGTATTGTAAGTCACCCTCTGCATCTTTCTGATTTATAACATGGCTGCTGGAATAAAACATGGGTGCAGCCCATGCTTTATTTATAGGCTCCCCTTCACAATTGTGATTGACTAGTCCTCAATCTGCTTGTTAAAGTCAGAGCTCTTTTCAGGACTGCAGCATCCTATATCATGGGCATAATTATACATTATATCTTTGGTCTGCAAAATGCAATTGGGCTGTAGCACACGAATTTAGGTCTTCAAAAGTGGCAGTAATCATACAGATTTACAATTAGTGACCTTTCAGTGATGCAAGGTATGCTCAGGATGTAGACCTTTGACAAATCAACAATAACCTTCACAATGGAACATAACTATGAGGTTAACCCCATTAAGAAACCATTATTACCTGGCTCTAGAGCTCATGCAAATTCACTGATCTACAGACACCACTCTAGATGCAGAAATGCTTTCCCTAAAGTGCTACTCAGCTTTTCTGGAGAAAGTATAAGTAGTGGTCTGTTCTGTAGGTCTACTTGTGTACATTAAAAAACTAAAATTCACTGCTCAATGCAAATCAGTAAAACACCCAAATTCACTTAATTTGTATTGATTTGCATGCTTTCTTCTGAACTCTGCATTTGGGCACTTGCACAAGATCAAATGGACAATGAAAGTTTGGACAGGCAAGAGGGTTGTGAAGAGCTGTATGAGTGTGAGCAAAACAAGGTTGCAAGGGTAGGTTTCAAGAAACTAAAGCTTCAGGTTTTGACCTGAGCATTTCACAATGGTTCTTGCGTGATTTCAAATGTATTTTCACTATAGCGAGGGCTAGAAACTTGCTTTTTAAAAAGGGAAGCTGGGATTCTCAGGAATCTAATATGCATAAATCATTGTTGTGCACGCTGCCCAATCTATGATGCCCAAAGCAGATGCTTTAGCAGAAAGGCACAGAAGACCATTTCCTAAATACTCCATGTTTATTTTCTCCATGTTATTGGCTGCCTTTACTGGTTAAAGCAGAGCGCTTTTTTTCTCCTTATCTGTCTGGGACTAAAATGGTCATAGATGGTCAAAAAAATTCACTTCCAAATTATGAATTTAGGTTGAGTAGGGAAAAGTAAGGTAGCTGTTGATCCATACAAGAGGAAATGCTCAAAATATAAATTGCTAATTCTAATATCTTTTTGTACAGCACATTAGTGTGAGGGGTGCAAGTTTAAAATCTGGCAAAATTGAATTGGCTCTTATGACAATTTATTCTCTTAACAGCTTGCTGCTCCTTTGAAAGCAAACACCCGCTAGACCAGTGCATGCCTTTAGCAACTGCAGGAAGCTCAGATAACTGTGGGCACAGAAGGTTAAAAAGAAAGCACATGATCTCTTATTTTTATTTGTAACTCTGCTCTCTTTGTTCTCTAGATTCTAAAAGTAATGAGTGCTTTGGAATTTTTGTGATTATGTTCTGGTGATGTGTAGCTAACGTACTAATGTTCACTTGAGCTAGGGTCATGGTAATGTGTGGTTTTTTTAAGAAAAAATATTTTAACTGTTCAGAAGATAACTTAAATACAATTATAAGATTAAGCTGTGAACCTGCTGAGCGTGTTTTTTTCTTTAATCTTAAATGAATGTTTGTTTCCCAGGCACTATGACAATGAATGAACTAGTGCAGAACTTCAACCTCATCTCATTAAGTGCATTGACTGTCATTCATTCACACTGGGGCAGCTTATTCATAAAATCTCAGCGTACTTTATAAGAGTTCCATTCATTAATGATATCTTCCATCTAAAGCACTGTAAATTGATCAAAACGTGTGACAGCAAAATGAGTGCATTTAAAAAGGGAAAAGGGATCCTAAATGGATCCTACAGGATATTTGAGTGAAAAACTGTGACATTCCCTTATTTAGAAGATGCACAGAATGCAGCTATTTAAATTTTTTGGTTCAAAGAAGATGACATACAGAATAATTCAAATTCTACCTTCTTACTGGACCCACCATGTTGCTTTGCCACCTTCACCTCTGGCTAACTTTTCCCATTAGGTATATTTTTATTTGTGCTTAAGGCCAGTCCATTGTTTTCCTGACCTGGATTTTCTTTGCAATTAGAAAGTTTGCTCTCCAACAGTTCATTTAGTCCACTGAAACTGGCCTTTCGGAATCTTGGTTTAAAAAAGAGAAAATTCAACTAACACACTACACATGAATCCAACAAAACAAAATACTTTAGGTGGTTTGGACAGAACCAAGGATGGAGATCCACACATCATAGAATTATAGAGTCACAAGGGACCACAAGGGCAATTTAATCCAACCCTCTGCAATGCAGGAATCTTTAGCTCAATATGGACTTTATCCCCACAACTCTGAGATTAAGAGTTTCATGCTCTACCGACTGAGCTAGCCAAGCCTCGTCTTGGCTTCTGCTCCTCTCTTGTCTGCCTCACATTTTCAATAAGACTAGTGTGTGTCACACTATGTTTTAGATGTCACTGTACCATATATTCCAACAGACCTGCCTACTACTTTCTCCATGATTTTCCTTCAGGAAGGCTGGTGGGAAAGCAGATGGAAAACGTAGGCACCTTGGAGGCACCCTCAAAACAGCAGGGCCTATATTAAGTAAAATCTGTTCTGTGTATCATAACATCCTTGTCCAACTATGCAAAATGCCTGTAAATTGTGCGGTGCTTTGTGAGAGAAAATACAATGTACAGTTGCAGAGCAAAACCATGAACCAAGGGCAGAGAGGGGGGAAATGGTTATTTTCCAATTAGAAATCAAACTCCAAAGATTGCTTGTTTGCTGGATGCTTTAGACTGCAAAAAAACCAAAACTATCCAAGTGGCATTTCATTTAAGAAATAATATAAAAATTTAACAAAACAAATTTTAGACATTTCCAAGCATTTGAGGACAAATTAACCACAATATTAAACTTGAAAGATGATGAATGAAGAAAAAGGGGTTCTGGCGTCACCAGTTAAGGAAACCCTTCAAAACAGTATTGCAGACCATAAAAGTTGCTAGCCCTCAAAATTATTTACTAGTAAAGAAGTAGATATATGCTGCCATTTCTCTAAATTTTACAGCATTGCTTGCTACTAGTGCCTTCACTTTTTACTTGCGTATTTGGAAGGTTTGTTTGTCCCTATTTTGTTCTCAGGCTACTGGACCCCTCACAGGGGACTGCCTGTTGCTCTCCCCTCTTTTCACCTCCTATTCCTAATACGGCAAAGGACGTATCTCCACTAGGTTTCCAGCTCAGTGTGGACATTCGCCTTTGCATGACTGGCTTTCTAGGTAGTATATACATTTTATCTTCTGGCACCCTGCCTTGAGGAAAGGGAAGTGGCTAAATCTGGACTACGTCAAGAAGTATGTTCTGGGCAGTTAACTGCTGAGGTCCTCTGCTTCACTCAGTCGGCCACCCAGGATGCTGTTTTGAGGAGCAGTGAGAAAACTGAAATCCTAAGGAGGCTTTGTTTAGGATTCCCAACTCCAATGATAAAATGTGCTATGAGAAAGGTAGTGTATATTTCACATAAATACTATGCTGGGCTGGAAAGACTAGGCTTGCTGCATCACTCCCCAAATCCAATGATCTACCAACAGGAACCAGGTCCAAAAGGCATGTGGTTAAAATTTAAAAACTGGGAGCCTTCTGGTGCTTTCTGTACAGAGGGATTCATTTTCAGTACGAGAACTGAAATGAGCCTCAAGCCATTTCACACAGAAATCCACTCCGGATGAGCTTTCTTCATTTCAGCTGCCTCACTGAGGTGAACAAAGTTTTGGCAGTCGAAAGCATTTGCTGATCTGCAGTAGCTCACCCAGAGATTGTCCCTAGATTCTGATCAACGTTCTGCCCACTCCTCTGCTATGAGATGCCCATGCATTGGAGCTGTCCTTAATCATGCATTGTTGTACTAAAATTGTAGAGGGTGTCTTTAAATTGTCCTGAGTCTCCTCGCTCTCAACCACCTTCCAAATCTGCTCTGGACAAAGCTATGGGCATGCATCTCATGTACTTTGCATCATGATGCACATCCAATGTTGAGAAATCCCTCGAGCCAGGACAATGCATTGACACAACAGGTTTATGAGACTTGCTTGAGGTCTCATGTTACACACTACAAATGGTGGGTGCGATGTCAGAATACAAAAGTTTGGGTTCTGCTCAAAAATCATTGGACAGATGAGTGTAATGTCATCATGCAGGGAAAATTGAAATTTGAAAATGAAGTGCCTCTTCTGAAATTGGCCCACAATGCGAGAAGCATGTCAGCTGGGAGTTGAAAGGCAGCATGGATAAATGATCCTGGAACCTGGAATAGCACTCAGTTACTAGTGTGGTACTGAAGAGAAGCAAGATACTTGTGCATCTTCGCCCAAATGCTGGTATATCAGGTAGGTGGGAGAGCTAGAAGTGCTGCAAATTCTTTTTCTGGGGCAACAAGAAATATCCAAGCTTGGCAGAATGCCCGGTTTCTGCAAAACAAATTCCATCCACCAACTTATAAGAATACAAAAGTGTTCTTTCATGGCTAGAGTGAAGGCTTGGGAAGGGGTGGACACCCAGTCTAGGAAAAAATGATTCTTTTGCTGCCAAGGGTTTTCAGTCTTGTGCCTTGTGGGCTGCCTCAGCCTCACAAGCTCTTCCAAAAATGAAGACTTCTGACCGTAAATTGAATAACTGTGGCCGGCTCTTTGCTGCTTTTGCCCTCCTCTTGCCAACTCAGTTCATTACCAAACTCTGAAGGTCTCTGCTTCACCTGTTTTACTGCCTCATTTTCCAAAAGGGAAGTATTTGTTCTGAGTAGCAAAGAACAAGGAAAGAAATTTGGTTTTGTTTGCATTTTAATGTGAAACTAATTCACCCTTCTCAAACTAATGCACAAATGCATTTTGCGATGCAGTTTTCCAGCCAACTTTTACAAATATGCATATATTGGCAGGAAGCATGCATAAAAAATGAATACATTTATGAAAATAACATACAAAATTGTCTTGTGTCAGGAAACTGCAAAAAAGGGCATTAGTCAAAAGGGCAGAAAAATGTTTTATTTGGATAAATTCACACTAAAATGCAGACAATGAGGATTTTTTTAAAATTGCAAATTGCTGTGGAAGTGTGGAGAACTGAGTGTAAGATTGGAAAAATGAGAAACAAAGAGAATTGAAATTGACATTACTGATTTCTAAGGAGCAGAAATCACCTTTCCCTGGCACTGTTTCCTCAGTTCACAAATACTGCTTGGGCATTGCTAAGCAATGAAAGAACCAATTTTATTCCATGTAACATGGGCAGTGTGGCACAACTGGTTTTCTCCTCCTGATACTGGAGACTAATACTGAACACACCCTGTAGGAAATATGCTTTTAAAAGCCTAAATATTGGCAGGACAATAGCTCCATTGATGAATATTTGCATAACAACCATATCTCCCACTGCTCCCAAAGTGAAGTGACTCAAGACTTCAAGACAGGGGTAGGCAACCTAAGGTTCATGGGCCGGATGCGGCCCAATCGCCTTCTCAATCCGGCCCGTGGATGGTCCGGGAATCAGTGTGGTTTTTTTACACTGTAGAATGTGTCCTTTTATTTAAAACGCATCTCTGGGTTATTTGTGGGGCCTGCCTGGTGTTTTTACATGAGTAGAATGTGCTTTTATTTAGAATGCTTCTCTGGGTTATTTATGGGGCATAGGAATTCGTTCATTCCCCCCCCCCCCCCAAAAAATATATATATATAGTCTGGTCCACCACATGCTCTGAGGGACGGTGGACTGGCCCATGGCTGAAAAAGGTTGCTGACCCCTGCTTTAAGAAGTTGGTACAGGCATTGTGCTAAGCATCAACAGAACTCTTTAAAAGGGGAAAATACTCCAGAGGTCACCAGTGATTTTGTGTGTGTGTAAAAACGTTCAATTCTATCCAATATCAATTAAGGCCACTTGTATTATTCTAGTAAAGGGGTAGGAAGAATTCAGAGTCCCAGGATCTACTCTGGGTGTAGTTGTGTTTTTTTACTAAAACCTTAAGATCTACCAACTGGTGCCTGGTGCAAAAGACATACACTTACAGTGTAACCCTATACTTGCCTACTCAGTGTTCAATAGGACACATGTGTTCCCAAGTAAATGTGTTAGGATTGTTGTCTAAAAATTTACAGGGGAAGTGCCATAGCTCATTGAGAACAACTGCCAGCATCTCCAGATAAAGGTAAAGGTACCCCTGACAGGTCCAGCCGTGGCCGACTCTGGGGTTGTGACGCTCATCTCGCTTTACTGGCCGAGGGAGCCAGCGTACAGCTTCCGGGTCATGTGGCCAGCATGACTAAGCCGCTTCTGGTGAACCAGAGCAGCACACAGAAACGCCGTTTACTTTCCTGCCACAGTGGTACCTATTTATCTACTTGCACTTTGATGTGCTTTCTAACTGCTAGGTTGGCAGGAGCAGGGACCGAACAATGGGAGCTCCCCCCGTCGCGGGGATTCAAACCGCCGACCTTCTGATCGGCAAACCCTAGGCTCTGTGGTTTAGACCCCAGCGCCACCCACGTCCCAGATAAGGGATGTCCTATACCTGTAATTCTGGAGAACTGCTGCCAGTTGGTGCAGACAATGCTGAGCAAAGTGGACCAAATGGTCTGACTCGGTATAAGATGGCTTACTATGTTCCTTAAGAACTTTGAATCTAGGAATTTGGTTTAAATATCAGAACTATTCTCCTGGTTCTCCAAAGCACTGGGATTTACCACTCAAAGTGCTTTTATGCTTGTCAATAAATTCTCCACTTGATCTGAGGTTTGCCAGATACTGGCTCCGTCAACCCCTTTCCCTAGACTGTTTCTTGCCTTATCTCAAGGCTAATAGGCTTAAGCTGGGGTCAGTTGCAGCCCTTCAACTCTTACCGCTACACTGTTACTGGTGTGAACCCAAAAGACATGGGCACCTCTCCAGATGTGTGACTGCATGATGTGCCAACATGGTTTTAGAGCAAATTTAATCACACCAGGAGAAATGATTTTTTGAACAGAAGGCAACTTGTGTTTTCAGACAGAAAATAAATCTCCATGCTTTTTTTTTAAAGGACAATGTGATTGGGTAGGGAGAGGCACAAATTTATGCTAGTGGTTGGAGGGACTTTTTATTACTTTTGGGAAAGGTTTGGGACAGCAGACTCTTCCTTTCAACACCATCTAACTGGAACAGGAACAAAGATGTTGAGAAGCCTGGAGACAGACTGTTGCTATTTGGGGGTGGGATTCAAGCACATACCACCCAATTCAGGTTGTGATAGTAGATCAGGAAGACTTGCACAACAAACCCACTTTCCCAAAATATCAGATTTTTGGGAAATATGGAAAGTAATGGGGAAATGCACTGGAAACTGTGGAAAGTGTTTGATGCAACATTGTCTAAACAAACTCCCCGCAAACAGATAGAGATGAATGCTCACAAGTCAGCATTGTCTAGCTGCTCTGTGAACAAATGAATCAGGATAAGTGCTCAATCAACAGCTCACTTAGATGCACCTCAAGTTTTATGAGGAATGGCTGAAGGAACTGGTCATGTTTAGCCTGAAGAAAGCACAATTAAGAGGGAATATGAAAGCCACCTTCAAATAGATGAAGCCAAGTTTGTCTTCTGTTGCTGCACAATGTAGGGATAGGAACCAAAATCAATGGGTTCAACCTAATGAGTGGATTTAGACCACACCTTACTAAATATTGCCTGGTGGTATGAACTGTTCAACACCCTTGGAAAGCAATGAACTTTCCTTAGTTAGAGATTTTAGTTAGAGTCCACCTAGCAGTGGACTTCCCCAATCAGCAAGGAGTTAAACTACATCCCCCACTTGAAATCTCTCCCAAATCTGTGAGGCTATATAGACTCACGATGCATCACTACCTCATCCTCCTCTAGCACCCGACATGAAATCCTGAAAGAAAAGGATTCCATTCTATGTTCTCCATTTAGGGAAGGAAGTCCACATGTTGCTGGACTCTCAACTTCCATCAGCCCCAGCATACACTCATTGAAATGAATGAACATGGCTAAGGTAGCCAATTAATTTTGATGGATCTACTCTAAACAAGGCTGAATTGAATACCACCCTTCAGCTCTACAATGGCCCTTATTGTTATACATTTCTAATGTGCTAATCCCTTCTCCTACAACCCTTATCCAGGTACAGAGAGAGTTAACATTGCCCTGGGCAGCTGCCAATGCTGGAAGGTCCTAGCAGCTCCAGGTTCTGAACTATGTATCTCTTTCTCAAATAAGCGAAGCGAATCACATCAACCATCATGTGATTGAGCACTGCCTCTAAGGGCTTAATGAAGCAGAGCTTTTCTTGCGTCTCTTGCATCTTTCTCTCCCTATCTTCCTTTTACTGCCTTGGCCCATGTGCTTGTGGCTTTTTCTGTCCGTCATTTGGCAAGTTGGTGGGGGGGTGGGGAGGTGTGTGTCTGCGTCTCCGTAGCTGAGCCTCCAGAGGGTCCTACAGCATCAAGTATTACTTTGCTGAGTTTTTCATCTCTCCTGGACAATCCCATCATGGGTCACTGAAATGAGCAAGTGGATCTCAGCCAGGCAACTTCACTTCTTCCTGCTGAACCTTCATTGTATTGTCTGGACGTAAAAGACAGAGATTGCCCAAATGGACAACAACCTGCGTTTTAACTTCCACAGAAAGATCACCGGGGTAAGTGTGGGTTGATGTTTTTTTGGAGCTTTCTATATGCCACAAAGGTTATCTCCCTTGAGCCTGGCGTGCTGCAGTACCCAGCATTCCTTAAGAGATTAGCTGGGATTTTAATTGCACACGACTTGAGAAGGCTGGCCAAGACTATAATCTCAGCTACTGTGCTCTGGGATATGTGGAGTGACAGTTTCCAGCTTCCCAGGGTATGGGGCTTGCTGTGCTGGCCTAAGGAATCAGGGCCAAAACTGGGGTGGGGAACTCAGTCCAGAAAGACATTTCTAAGTCTAGTAGCTTTAGATCAGGCACCCCCAACCTGTGGCCCTCCAGATGTTTTGGCCTCCAACTCCCATGATCCCTAGCTAACAGGACCAGTGGTCAGGGATCATGGGAATTGTAGTCCAAAACAGCTGGAGGGCCGAAACTTGGGGGTGCCTGCTTTAGATCTTTCCAGCTGCAGATGCTACTGGGTTGGGGGGGGGGAGGAAGGGTGCTGGAAGTGGTCTAGCTCCTTATAAAATAATGTTTCAACTGGGGTGCTTTGCAGCCACCATTTCACTTGTGTCTGTTGCATGTTTTCCTGTTTATGAGAATGAGGCTTAATCATTCCTGCTCTAAGTTTGCCTCCTGGCTATGTAGTTTTTATTTCTTTTTTGGGGGTTTGCAGATCGTTGGTGATCTGTATATGTTATTAAGTTATTGCCATATGCTAATGAGTTGTGGCAAGGCTCCTCCCCCCTCAAAAAATAACTACACTGGTACCTCGGTTTAAGAACAGCCTTGTTTATGAACTATTCCGTATATGAACACCACAAAGCTGGAACTAGTGTTCCACTTAGCAAAGTTTACCTCGGTCTACGAACGGAAGCTGAACGGTGGAAGGGCACCAGCAGTGGGAGGCCTCATTAGGGAAAGCGCACCTCAGTTTAAGAACGGCTTTGGTTTAAGAACGGACTTCCGGAACAGATTAAGTACGTAAACCAAGGTATCACTGTATTAAGGAACCAATCCTGGTTACTTTCTTTCAGCATTTGAATGCCTACATCTTTCCACAGGGAAAAGTACTAGACTGCAAAGGACTTTCAAGCCAACATAGGCAGAATAGGAAGAAATGGCTGACAGTAAATGTTGGGCCAGTTTCAGTTTAGAAATCATGTTCCCCTGAGCCTGGAATGTTGAAAAGTCCTGCCTGTCTACAGTTCAGAAGAAAATAACCTGTCCATTTCCCACAGTCATAGGGGGTAATACTGAATTATCATTTCAGCTCAGGCAGGTTCTATAATGGCCAATGTTCTGTGTCTCAGAACACGAGGCACACAGAGCAAAGTAAGCCAGGAATGACAGCATGAGTGTGGCAGGTCCAGTCCCTGGCATCTCCTGGTAGGGCTGGGAATGTCCCCTGCCTGAAACCCTGGAGAACCACTGCCAGTCAGCAGTGGTGCAGCACTGGTTGCTGGCACCCAGAGCACGTGCCAGCCCAGCCCTTGCCACTGGAACAACCCCACCCACATTGGAGCAAAATGGGGCTGCACTGAGCTGCTCGCTCGTCCACACTGGCGGGAGCCTGGCCAGCCAGTGCAGCCCTTGGTGGGCAGAGAGGAGCATTGGGCTGCACTATGCTGGGGTCACCTGCATAGGGACACCTGGTTCATGCCACTTCCAAAATTATGCACCTGGGGCCACAGCTCCCCTGGCACTCCCCATACTATGCCCCTGCCAGCCAGGATAGTTAATGCTGAGCTAGATGGATGCAGCTTCCAACGTTCCATTTAACAGCATAGTGAGCTTGACGTTCTTGTATGGTGCCATGTTGGAAGAAGTGGCAGTAAACAGGGATGTTGAACCAGAGCATCACTTTCCCATCTGTCCACCACACCATGTGCCCCTTTGGCTTCTCCCTCCTTCACTGTGTGAAAGATGCATGATGCTGTAAACACAGAAACAACCCCAAAGTCTCTCCTTAATGGCTTAGCTGCCCTCCTCTCTCATATGCCACAGAGAGCGATAATGGGAGGAACCACTTGAAGATCCATAGGAGAATGCTCTGCTATCCATTCAGAAGGCCCCAGCTTCAATTTCCAGCATCTCCAGGAAGGACCAAGAGACTCCTGCCTAAAAACTTGGAAAGTCACTGCGTATCAGTGTTGGCAATACTGAGGTGGATGGTCTTGATAGCGGTGGCGGTTGGTCCGTTGGGGTTACTGGAGTGCTGTCCCACCAACCTCAGTCTGCTCTCAGTTAGCCCTCAATTGCCTACCTCCTTACTTGAAACCAGTTCAAGGGGTGGCACTGGCTGTCAGCTTCCTCCTCCCTGGTCTCAGCACTTGCAGAACTCAGCAGGGAAGAGGAAAGGGGCAATAATTAGTTTGTTCTGGCTCCACCTTCTGCTGGGCTCCCTGCCCTCTACCCCACCAGTCCCAATGGGCACCAGGCAACTTCTGATGCTCCACTGTAGGATTGCAGCCATTTCCTCCTCTCATTTCTCTGCCTGATTCTTAAAAAGGAACACTGCTGCTACCATCTGCCTGGTCTATTTTGGATGAGCTAAGCTAGGGAATCCCAGCCAGTTATTCCAGTACATATAAAAATACATTTCACCAGCGTATCTCTATATGTGGAAATTCTGGGGAATCCACCTCCTCTTTGGGTAGCAGTAAAAATTCTGTTCTAGTTGCTACTATGGTTTTTCCAGGTTAAGCTTCCTGTATAGCAGTATTGCAGGGCTGTGCTTTTTGTTACTCTGCTATTTTGCGGGGGCAATGTGGGCTCTTCTGTATTGTCCAATTGCTTCACTTTCAATAATGCGTGTTTATGGATTCATCTCATTTTGCTGTCTGTGCCTAGCCACCTTGAATTATTTTTGTGATAGAAAGTCAGTATTGCAAATATTTTAATAATAATAAACCTTTAAGAGGCTGGGTGATACACTCTTGTGCAAAAATAAGAAAAGGTTCCTTGGCATTCACTTCTGACCTCAGATAATTTATTATGCCTTCCCATGATATTCTTACCCTAAATAAGTGTCACAATCTGGGCCTGCATTCACCATGATTTGATTTCTAAAGTCCTACCAGCTTCCATTTTCTCTGGAATCCACATTCCCTTACAGGACCTACCTGGACTAGTAAAGCTGGAAGTATTTTTAAGATCGCTTTATGGATCTGTTTCTGTGACAAATGAGAGATTTCCTCCCTCTACCACACTTCCTGCTAGCTAATTATGGTCCTGTTGCCCTTAATTACAGTACCATGAATTGTTCTAAAGAATCCTCCCCCCAAGGAACCCACCCATTTTCCAATAGACTAGCTTGCGACAATTTTATTAATTTCCATGATGGGTTTCTCTTTTCATGTTGTTTTGCTACGTTTATTAGACACTCAATAGCTTGTATTCTCTGGATGCAAGAAAAGACTTACAAAATCCACATAACAGCAAAAGCTTATCTGATAGGCTTTCACATGCTCTGTCTGTGCAACATTAATTGGTTCCAGTCCTTAATGGGTGTGGTTAGAACCCTTTGTTGATTGTAAATGTTTCTCTGTTAAACTATCCTGGGGAGTCCAGTTCTCTCTCTTCCTGCTGGCTCTTCCGCAATACCTAACGGAAGGAGGCTTCTGGCTGGAACTGCTCCAAACCACAGGCAGCCCAGGAAATAATTCCTTGATGTCACATGATTCATAGGAACAGCTTAGAGAGATAGCCAAAGTGGTGCCCTCCAGATACTGCTGAACTACAGCTCCCATCATCCCTGGCCATTGGGCATAGTGCCTGTGGCTGGTGGGAGTTGTAGTATCCAGTGGGCACAGTGTTGGCTTAAAGAAAACAGCAACTCCCTGAATCCCTTTTAATTGTGTGATGCCGTTCTCTGTACTCTGGAGAAAGTGCAGTCATAGGCAAATTTGGAAGCACTTTTTTATTTCCCGAATACCCTGCCATTCTGATTTCCTTCATGATATGGTGGTATTAACCCTTCTGCTACCTTGAAATGCCACCCAAGAGGGGTGCTGGGTCTTCCCCTCCCATGCAGCCAATGCTGGTGTCCTCCAGTGTAATTGCCTCACTAGCCACCACTGGGGTGAAAGCTGCCTATATTTATTTGTTATACAGTTTCCTCAGCCCTGGTTCGGCTTACCAGAAGTGTGTTCATGTGCAATGTCTTCTCATCAGTGGAGGCTGGCCCATTAAGACTCAGTCTGCCCTCAGTCAGCCCCCACTTGCTGCCTTCTTACTTAAAACCAGCCAGTGAGCAGCATTGCTTGTTAGCTGTTATTCTTTGTAGAAATAAGGGAGGAGGAGAACAGAGACGAAACTATATTTAGCCAGCTCTGCCTGTCATAGGCTCTGACTCTGTTTCTTGTTGGCCCCCTTGCTGTCTGCCCCTCTGGTCCCAAGGGGCACCGGCCACCACTGATTCTCATCAACTTCTTTTACCAGCTGAACAAATCCTTCAGTAAATTTGACCGAGCTCCAACACTTGGACAAACATGCTTAGGAATGTTTCTGTTTCTTTTCTTTTTGGGAAATGGAGGACTTCCTATGAGTATCTTTGCTGCCTTCTGCTACCTCTGGAATTTTGCACCAACTTTTGAACCACTGTTGTTATGTAGGTTCACCAATCTATAGCAACTCTTGGTGGCAAAGCAATGTCCCATGCTTGGTATGTCTCATGACCTACTTCCACCTCCTCCTTATCTGACATGTATTCTTGTCCTTCCTAGCACCTCACCTTCCCTCTGCTGGCTGTCACACTGCTGTCATCGTTTGGGTCTTCCATGCTGTATGGCTACAATTTGGCTGTGGTGAACTCTCCAGCAGCGGTAAGATTCAGACAGAAAGTGCACACACTGACCATCATAGAGCCTTCCATCCTCTGCTGAGCTAGAATGCCCCTCTCTCCACTTCCTGGCCTGATACACCATGTTGAGCTGACCCCTTTCTGCTCCTCCCAGGCCCTCACTTGGGTTAATACTGTTTCCCACAGACATCACAAGACTCCAAATAACCTGTGGTTAAAATCTGATGATGGTGAACACAGATCTAGAACTCTCACAATTTTATTGCATGTTGTGTCTTCCTCCACTGCAGCACATCAAAGCCTTCTACAACACAACATGGTTTCGGCGCTATGGAGTGGGCCTGGCTCCAGCACGGCTCACTCTCATGTACTCACTGACTGTCTCGGTCTTTGCCCTGGGAGGCCTGGTGGGATCCCTGCCTGTGGGAGTACTGGTCACCCAATATGGAAGGTAAGGGCAGGGCCAAAAACAGAGTGAATTTCCAATTCATAGCCAAGATGTGTTGACAGATACACCACCCATTCAATGTGGAGGGAAGCGAGGATGACTGGCACTGAGTTCCACATAGCTGAGCACCCACATCCCTCTGACCAACCCCTAATCCTGCTGCAATTGCTCCTTGCCACTATTGCCTGCTCTTCTGTCCCTTCTAAGCCAATGAGCAGTGACAAAAGAGGAAAGCGAAAGAGAAGAAGAAGAAGCCTTAGACCACATTGACCCATCTCCCACTGGACAGGTGTATGGACTGTGGCCAAAGGGAAGGTGTAAGCAAAAGTGCAGTGGCAACAGCAATGAGGAGGTAGATAGGTCTTCTCTGAGAGGAGGCCCATAGACGGTATCATGCCCAAGTCCCCCCACAAATGTTACAAAACACACATTAATCCCCGTAGAGTTTAGACAGCAGGAATGTACTACTACGTAACCCAGTTCTGTTTTGGCATGCAAGCCAGAAACTGCCTCTCTTCCCAATGAAAGCTGCAGCACCCATGAATGTGACCAATTCATTAGCCTTCAACCTCATGACCATTAAGGACAGAGATAAAATTGAGCTGGATAATGTGATCAAGGCAGGAGTGATTCTAGAATTCAAACAGTTAAAAGGTCAAAGAGGTTACAACAGTGCAAGATACTGACTAGACTGACCTTTGGCTACACTGGTGAGACACTGGATGCTGCCTTATTCCATCCAGCTCAGTTTTGTCTGCACTGCCTGGAGCATAGGCTTCAGGCAAGGGTCACTCCCCATCTCTTACCAGGAGATGCTGGGAACTGAACCTGTGACTCTCTGAAGGCAAAGATAGATGATAGGTATAAAGACTGTCAGTTAATTTATGGTCCTCTTTGACATCTCAGTTGAGACATGTTCTTTAAAAGTATTTATTTTGTTAGGGCATCAGGAATGAACTGAATCACTTGGAAGCACGATTATTCTTTACCGTGGGTTGTTCTGAATATGTTTTAAGCTGACACTTTAACTGTCCCTGAAGCTCATTGGAAACATATTTTGTTAAAGAGGGTGTATAAATAATAGAAGGAAATGTAGAACAGTTGTGTCAGCTGGGATAACGCTATGATTGTCAAAACAGAGCTACTCCTTATGCCTGCCTCTCAACTCACATCCCAGATTTAATTTGAGTTGAGGCTACTTGCCAAATCTCAACTCTACCATCAGAACAATTTCCATATGCTCTAGCAAACAACCGTGTCTCCGTTTAAACTCTGGATATCACAACAATTCATCCAGCTGAAAGGTTGCTCAGTGATCATCTACATCAGGGATGGAGAATCTGTGGCCCTCCAGACATTGCTGGACTCTAAGTTCCATCAGCCTCAGTCAGCATAGCCAATGGATGCTGGAAGTTATAGTTTAGTAACGTCTGAAGGGCCATCTCTGATCTACATCCCATTTGGCTAGTCACTCCACCTCTGACTACAGGCCTTAGGATCTGGCAAAGCAATTCTAATGGGGAAAGGAGTTAGAAGCACCAAGGAAGGAAGGGGGCAGAGGGGCAATTATAGGGATGCCAGATGGGCATTTTGTTGCAACAGAGAGCAGAGTGTTCAGCAGGGCTGGCCCAAGATACTTTGGCACCTGAGGCGAACCAGAAAATGGCGCCTCTCTCCCTGGTAGGGAAGAATGGGTGAGTGAATATCTACCTCAGAAGCAAGGAAGTAAGATCTACATCGGGATCAGCTGCCCCTATGGATCCTGCCATGGTGCCACTTGGGGCAGTCACCTCACCTTGCCTCATGAGTGAGCCAGCCTTGGTCCTCAGGGAGTGGGGATGGAACAAAATGTTTTATTTGGAACTTTTTGTAATCAAAGAGGTTGGATGACCATCTGTCATGTGTGTTCTAGTTGAGATTCCTGCATTCCAGGGGGTTGGATTAGATGACCCTCTGTTCCCTTCTACCGCTACAATTCTATGGTTCCATGATTCAATGAAACCATCTAAAATAAATGACCTCTCTACCAGGAATGGCACCTTGGTCCGTAGCAACGTCCTCGTCTTCCTGGCTGGCATGTTAATGGGATTCAGTCGCTACTTGGAATCACCTGAAATGGTCATATTCGGACGCTTCATAACCGGCGTTCACTCTGGTAAGAGAAATGTCTCTGCCCAGACTTCCTCACTTTGTGTGTGGGTCTCCTCCTTCTCTACTGTAGTTCCTTCTCCTCTAGGATCCAGGTAATGCACACCCACTGAAAGCTACGTATTCATCTCAAAAAGCATATCTGTACTGTATATATAGATTATTAGAGCCACTGCTGCCTCTCTTGCTCATGACGTTCCACATTGATTTGAAAAGCAAAAGAACGTGCTTTTTAATTTAGAGAGTTAGAAATGAGTTACCACCTACAGTGAGTGAGTGGGAACATTCACAAATTAATGAATGTGGATTCACTGCATGCACTTTCTGAATTAGGCCACTGCCCATAAAATCTCGTTCCACAATAAACTAATTGCTAAGATGACACATTCTGCCTCTTTGTAGCAACAGAACTTATATGACTACTTTGCGGGAAGTTAATATAGATTTAGTTGTTCCTGAAGATATTAGCCCTTAGATATCTGAGGTTGCTGGCTGATTGCCATGTCATTCACCACCTTCCTTCCCTTTTCTTTCCTCTTCCTACCAGGGATCTGTCTCAGTGTGGTGCCCATGTACCTGGGAGAAATTGCCCCTAAGAACCTGCGTGGATTCTTGGGCCTTGTACCAAGCATTTTCATCTGTCTGGGGGTCTTCTCTGCCCAAGTCCTGGGCCTTCCAGAGCTGCTGGGAGAGGTAAATGCCCAGGCCTGCCACTCTTTGCATGGAATGCCCAGGCCTGCTAGCTTCGTTGCTGTCAGAATGTAAACTGATGACAGGATGGGAAGGGCACCACTGGGAGCAGCTGAGAGTCCTAGAAGAGTGTGCTAGCAAAAGGTGGTGTAGTAATGAACATGTTGGACTTTGGATGGGGAGACGTGAACTTACAGACATGAAGTTCACTGAATCACCTAAGGCAAATCACTGTCTGAGTCTAGCCTACCTAACAGACTTGTCCTCCAATCCTCAAGCTCACACTGTTGCTAAATACCACTCTAGCAGATGACACCATCACCCCTGCTGTCAAAAAGAGCAACAAAGCTTCATTTCATTCCACTGCCCCCATTTCTCCTACTAGTTTAGAAAAGGCAGACGGGCTTTTGCCATCTTGAATCCAAACATGTGTTTTTTTTAATGCGCTTCCCACTTCTTCAAGTGGTGAGAAGTTCTAGGAGAATGACTTATCCATCTTTTATTCTCATTGGGAAGAAGAGATGGATGGCGAGTTAATATGTTTCTGCTATATTGATTTACAAATATTCAAGTTGACCATAAATGGAGGTGAACATGGGGCATAGGTGGAGGGCTTCCCCTCCCAGAGGTGTCTCCAGTTATTTCCTAGCCATTCCCAGCCATTTTAGCTCTAATTTCCCTAACAGAAGATGTGCCTGCTGGTATGCTTGGCCTCTTGGCCATTAAGGAACCTTAAGAACTCATTCTGCCTCCTTTAACATTAACAAATGCTAATCCCCACAGCAGAAATCAAATAGCAAGACCATAACAATGTTAAAAGAAATCTGGCCATTATACAGAGAAAAAGTCTCTGCCATAGAGGAAAGAGGAGGCATCAGGGATTATGTTGGAGAAAGTGCGGGGAGACAGATGTGGTGGAGGAGGGGAGTATCTTGCTCAGGTCATTCTTGCTTCTATCCATGCACCCACCACACCCAAAATAATGCAAGACCTAGGTTTGCTACACATTTGGAATTTCCTAGACATATCTGGAATACTGCATTCAGCAGCAGCATCCGGACGGAAATTGTTAAAATGTCTGGGAAAATCCAGACATATGGCAGTCCATGTCAGCAGTGTTATTTGCCAATTTCCCATAAAAATAGCTCAAAAAAAAAGCTCAACACCTTTGGCCAAAAGTTTGAAATATGGCAACCCTAGCTATACCCTTCAGGACTAGGCTTTCCTATATAACCCTGTGAGGAGAAAGATGGAGAAAGGGCTGCAGAAAAGGAGCCATTAATCTATCAGTGTGGAGCCAGTGTGGTGTAGTGGTTAAGAGCGATAGACTCGTAATCTGGGGAACCGGGTTCGCGTCTCCGCTCCTCCACATGCAGCTGCTGGGTGACCTTGGGCCAGTCACACTTCTTTGAAGTCTCTCAGCCCCACTCACCTCACAGAGTGTTTGTTGTGGGGGAGGAAGAGAAAGGAGAATGTTAGCTGCTTTGAGACTCCTGAAGGGGAGTGAAAGGCGGGATATCAAATCCAAACTCCTCCTCTTCTTCTTCTTCTTCTTCTTCTTCTTCTTCTTCTATCAAGTCCTTTGTGTTTCACAACCTGCATAAAGTATCCTCTTTGCCAGAAAGAAGCTGCAAAACCCCTCTCATCATGGGGGGGGGCTCGCTCTCTCCTAGGATGCCTACTGGCCTCTCTTCCTCTCGCTGGTGGTTGTCCCTGCCTTCCTGCAGCTGATCCTCCTGCACTGGTTTCTAGAAAGCCCCCGTTACCTTCTTATTGAGAAGAATAACGTCCTTGGAGCTACTGATGGTAAGGGAAGTGCAAGGATCTTCGTTCCTTACCGCTTGGAAATATTTTGGGGGTGGCCATGAGAGGCCAGAAAAGTTTGCTATTGTGTGGCAGGGCTACCCACAGCCTCCAGGCCTCCAGCTGGCCATCCCTGTCCTGGATACTTTTCTCACCCGTGTTGTCTTAACCCTACAGCACTGCGCTGGTTCCTGGGCAAGTACGACGTGCAGGACGTAATCGAAGAGATGCAGGAGGAGAAGCGCTCGCTGGCTTCTGTGGAGACGGTGTCTGTGTGGCACCTGCTCTTGGATCCCTCTGTGCGATGGCAAGTTCTCTCCGTCGTGGTGATCAACATGGGCATGCAGCTCTCAGGGATTGACGCGGTAAGGGCTGCAGGGTTGATCATGCCTGCCACAAGGCCGCTGGGCTGGCCTGCGCCTCCTGCACCTTCATTCAAGCACAACAGTATTCCAACCTCACTGCTCTCTTCCCCTGTTTAAACCTCTGGGCGTATTTCCCCCATGTATCTGCAACACCTTCGCTAACTGGAGCCAAATAACTCTGAGCTAGGTGCCAAAAGTCAAGAGTTACTGTTGCTCCTCCCAAATCATGAATATTTATTTAAATTTCCGTACCGCCTTTCCTCCCAAAATGGAGGCAAATTGCAAAACAGAAAAACAATGCATAAATAAATAAATCTAAAACCTTGTAAAACAGTCATATCCCCTCACAGCTAGTAATGCCAAGTTTGCAGGAAACAGTGCTTTTCAGCCATTAAATGCCTGGAGGAACAGGAATGTTTTAACATTCCACCAGAATGTTAATAGTGGGAAACTACCACCATGGAGGCTCTGTCACAGGCAGCCCCCAGCACTATCAACAGGCTGAGATGGTTGACATTCTTGAGTACTTTGGTCCCAAGCCTTTTAGGGTTTTGTAAGCTAGTTCCAGGCTTTGTGCACCTTGAATAGAGCCTTACTGACACCCACTCTGCTTGCAAAAGGAGGGAGGGAGAAGGGTTCCGCATGTACTTTTCTCTCTAGCCCTGCCTACCACTGATATGCAGCCCTTAACAGATTACTCCCAAGCAAATACAGCCCATGGCAGAAAAAGGCTCCCCACTCATGTTTTACATCATGCATTAAAATGATTTACTCTAATTCATGGTAGAGCATAATTAATCCCAGGAGGGAGGGGTTGGGCGATTAAAAATGAGGCACTCATATCTTAATAAAAGTGCTGTTAGTACCAGCATACAAATGGTTGCCATAAGCAGCCAAAAAAGGTGATTTTTCTTATTTTACAAGTGTGCTACAGAACGGAGAAAAGTGGCATGCCTCCAGCTAATTTTGATTTGAACTCAGACCCTCAAACTGTCTTTGCTAAGTCCCACTGGCATGAAAGGAGAGGATAGGCAGAAATGGTCTGTGGGTGCTAACACACGCAACTCTGCAGCAGTTCCCTGCATACCCGTCCCCTGGATTTCCTTGCAGCCTCACGAGGTATGCCACTGTCCTTCCTACTCTTCTAAGCCACACCTACCCCCTCTGCTTATGATTTCTCCTCTTCATTGACAGATCTGGTTTTACACAAATGTCATCTTTGAGAATGCCGGCATCCCTGACCCAGAGATCCCCTACACTACGGTCGGCACGGGTGCGATTGAGGTCGTTGCTGGCTTGATAGGCGTAAGTGTGGAAATCTCTAGTTTGCGTTTGGCTTGTCCTTTAAGAGGGCATCATCCTTCTGCTTTCCTTTTGCACTGAGAGAATAGATTTGTATGTACTTTTCATAATGAGACAGGGCAATAATTTCCTAACTCCTTTCCAGTGTGGAGGGCACACTCTTGGTTCCTTCAGGATGCTCTCTACCCATTTTCACCTGGAAGGATATTGTTCACAGCTGGGCTCTTGGAGAAGAGAACCTGTGAGGTTGCTTGTCACTGCCTGGTCCTAGCAAAGAGCCTTTTCTTGCACTCATTCTCTGCTCTCCTTGTGTTGCCAAACATAGCCACCAGAAGAGAACTGCTCACTTGTCCTCAGCACTCACCAGATACTGTTTATGAGGCTGGATACACACCATAAGTCTAAAGCACCTCCTGGGACTCCTGGGAATTGTAGTTTACCCCCACAGAACTACAATTCCCATAACTCTTAACAAACTACCATTCTCAGGACGGTGGGAATGTGCTTTAAATGTACGGTGTGTACGGAGCCTAAGCTAGCAGTACTTTCCTTCCTGTCCTAGCTATGTTTCTTCTGGGCCTTTCCTGCTGAGTGGCGGCAGTGCTCTCCTTAACAGAGCATCAGTCAAGGCACAGGCAGAATGAAAAGCAACAGCTTGGAAGATCTCTCCAGCTGCCTCTCTTTCTCCACTGGAGGTAGGGAGTGAGGACCATGCAGCAAGTCTACTTATAGGTAAAGGGGAACTGTGTTCCATGCCTTTCTTCCTCAAGTGGGTAATGTGGGAACTGGGCCATAGGCTGCAATCCTATACATGGAGGCAGCCAGTGTGGTACCTCCAGATGTTGCACTCCACATCCCATCAGCCCCAGGTAGCATAATCAGGGATGATGAGCGTTGTAGTCATAAGAACATAAGAGCCCTGCTGGGTCAGGCTAAAGCAGCCTTTCTCAACCTGTGGGTCCTCAGATGTTGTTGAACTACAACTCCCATCACCCCTAGCTAGCAAGGCCAGAGCTCAGGGATGATGGGAGTTGTAGTCAAACAACATCTGGGGACCCACAGGTTGAGAACCGCTTAGCTGGGCTAAAGGCTCATCTAGTCCCACACAGAGTGGGACTTACTTCTGAGTAGACAAGGCACTGCTAGATTCTCTGTGATCAAAGAGCAGCCAGCACACAGAAGAGTGGAGCATTTTGCCTTGTGGCTTGGGAGGCCAGAGGGATCACAGAACCAGCCTCACTCAGCATGGTCTCTCAAACTCAAGGGTTGAATCATTATGCAGACTTAGTCACAGCCCCTTGTCTCGTCACCCCCAGACATCTTACCACAGAGAGGAGGATAATCAATGGCACCTCCTGTCTGTGGAGAGGGACTCGCAGTATTGTAGGAGGACAGAAGTCATTTATTAATCAGATTGCTTGCTTCCCACAACAGACAGGCATTTGTAACACTGATGATTTGCCTTGGGAGATGAGTCAAAAGGACCCTTCTGATTATTGCTAATAGCTCGTATGTTTGCATACAGCAGACTCCGGCAAAGGCTTCTGAGGGGTGCAAGCATAGTTACATAAACAACAGATTTGCAGGACACATCCAGTATGGCATTTGGTTTGTTGGCTTGCTTGTTAGACAAGAGGTATAAATGGCAGGACGATCCCATACCTAATGCATCTTGTAGCTGTCTTATTGCAACAAGGGTGCTCATTCCAGCTGTCACCGTCCCTTTGACTCCAAATTTTAGCCTAGCTGGGCCAGATTTCCAGCTGGATATCACCCAGGGCTGCCCATGTCGGACCTGTGCCTCTCCCTATTACACAGGCACATAGCTCTCCCGCCCACCAACCGCCTTTGCTGCCCATCAGCAACGCCTAACTCCGGCAAGCTCATCGCTCCATCAGCCTGATTGCTCCTGAGTGCCGACAAAAACGGCCCCCAATGGATGCACTGAGGTTGGTTATAAAATTACAGGCATTTGTTCTGCTGTCAGCAGCTTTCCTGCTTTGGCTTCCTTCTGGCAGCTTCTCCACACACACACACACACACACACACACACACACCATCGCAACCATAGGCTTCTGGCTCCCAGGATACCCTCCTTCCTTCCACAACCAGTGCACAAACTGCTCCCATAGCTGGAGCAGAGCCAGGGGTACATCCACAAAAGTTTGTTCCTGAACCCCCTTTCCATCAGCTTTAATGAAAACGACCTCACTTCTTCTCTTAGGGATGAACTTAACGGTTCTGCTTTTCAATGGCAGCTGCCCCATAATACATTGGATGAGAAGCCCTTCCCAAAGCTAGGAATAAAACCAGGACTGTGCATTTCCAGGCTAATGTTGTGCCTTCTATATGTTGACCTCCTTTGTAATGTTTTATTTTGAAATCTTTAAGATAATGTTTAGTTTCCTGTTAATTATGTTACTCTGAACATGTACTTTATATTTGAATTTCTTCAGTAATGTTTATTCTGGATTGTTTTATTTGATGTTTTATTGCACGTTGTAAAACGCTTTGTTTCCCCCCTTAAAAATATAAAGTGGTATAGAAATAATAATAAGCTGTTGGACTACAAATCTCATCATTCCTGACCTTTGGCCATGCTGGCCCTGGCTAATGGGAGTTGGGAGTCCAAGAGCATCTGGAGGGTACTATGTTGGCTGCCTCTGACCTAAACTATTTGATCTTGGAAAATAGAATGCAGGAGACAATGCCAAGCATAAGGAAGATGTCACATAGTCAGGCTATTGGTTCATCTTGCTTAGCCACTGCCTATGGGCAGCAGTTCTCTATGGGCAGAACATCAGACAGGGTGACATTCCCTGCTCTACCTGGAGATGCTGGAGAGTGAACATGGGAACTTCTGCATGCAAAGTGGATGTTCCACCAGTGTCAGATCTATTGCTCTAAACCACCACCACATGTGTGTAGAAGCCCAGTATACAAGCTATGCCATTGGGACACCTGCACAACCAGGTGCCCTAAAAACAAGGAGCCCCTACTCTTGAGCATGCACTCACAAGTAGGGCTTCCTTCTCACGCACCTGCAGGGAACAAATGTTTGTGGGGCAGGGGCAAGATGTTGCACTGGGGCACAAACTTATGCCCTGCATTTGACTAGGGCATACTGGATCCCATATTGGATCCCACTCTCCCCTGTTAGTTTCTGTTTTGCCACTGAGCAGCTGCTTGGAATCACAGGACTCTGTTTACATTCCAGAGACCTTCCAGTCTCACAGGAGGGGAGATGGGATGTGATGTTAGTGGTTTCCTGTTTCCTTTGTTCCTTTGTTTCAGTTGCTCTCTGCTTTCATAGAGAGAGGATGTCTTTTCTGACTGCGTAGCTTAGAAATAAAACTCTTTACAATGTAGCCCAAACCTCTCGTCTCTTCCCTGTGCTGGGAACTCTGTTGAATAGAATGTGCCTTGGAGCCTCATCAAAGGCTCGAGGTCGTTAATTATTCGTCGGAGGCGATTCTGGAGACTCGGCTGGAAGCTGAGGGTTTATCAGCTTGGCCGAGTGGAGATTCCGACATCCCCTAGCTCTGGAACCAAACCCAGAATTTCTAATGGTTGGCATTCCAGCCCCAGTGATGGCCAAACTTGGTCCTCCAGCTGTTTTTGGACTACAACTCCCATCATACCTAGCTAATGGGACCAGTGGTTGGGGATGATGGGAATTATAGTCCCAAAACAGCTGGAGGGCCAAGTTTGGCCACCACTGGTATAAGCAATGGGACAAGATGGTTCTGCATCCATGCACTCTCTACGTAGCTAAGAATGATGTTACTCCATGCAGTACTGTTGGCGTCTATGCAATAAGCTTGTCTGTATACTTTGTGTATATATTTGGGGGAATCGCAGAGACCAGGGATGGAAACCTCTGGCCCTCCAGACATTATTGAACTCATCCGCCCCAAACAGCATGGTCAATCGTCAGGGATGATAGGGGTTGTAGTCCAACAACATCTGCAGGCAGTGCTGGCTCAGGATACTTTGCTGCCTGAGGCAAGGTATAAAATGTTTTCCTCTCCCCTTCCACGTTCAGAAGCCAACTGGACCAGCAACTGAATCTTACTTCAACACCAGCAATGAGGCAGTGTCTTCCCTTGCCTCCAAGAAAGGCAGGTACAGGCTGTGAGGCACACATAACTCTGTCCTTCAACTGAAGAAAAGGCCAAGGCTGCATCATTCTGCCTAATGGTAGAACCAGCCCTGCCTGGAGGGTCACAAATTCTCCATCTCAGAACAGACAGAGACACATGCAAAACCCTAATACAACTAGCCAGCAACCTGTCTCCTCGATTTCCCCCTTTCTCTTTGACAGTGCTTCACCATTGAGAAGCTGGGACGTCGCCCTCTCATCATAGTTGGGTTCTGTTTCATGGGCATCTGCTGTGCAGGCATCACCCTGTCCCTGATTCTGCAGGTAGGAACAGCCCCATAGACACTTATATACCCATGGATGGCTGACAACGTCTCTGCAGTCCGTCCCACCCCCACCCCCAATCGCATATTAGATTTTGTGCTTCAGTTTGCACAGTGGGATCAGAAGTGCTGGTGGATCCTCAGAAACTCTATCCTGCTATATCTATACCACTGGTTTCCTTTTTCACACCTAAATGCTAAAGTGTAAACATAAGCAAGGCTTGGTCCTAGTTCATAAAATTGGTGCAAGTACAGGTGTGACCTCACACAGAAACAGGGATGAGTGCAAGGGGGCAGGATGAGGGGGGCAGGTTTATTTGAGAATCAGGAGATGGAAGAGAACTACCATCTCTGGAATATTGGTCAAGCTAGGTGGAGGACACCAGCTAAGTTAGGAAGCAAACAGCTAAGCTTGGAGCTATGACAGCAGGGTGTTGTGCCTCAGCTGCTTGGAACGGAGGTGTCTGCTCAAGCAAGGGTCACAGGATTGGCACAGCTAGCAGTCTGCAGACTGGGACTGAGTGTGGTCAATTGAGCTGTAGGATGCAGGCCTGGATGTGGTGGTGGAATCTCAGAACTGAATGAGCCAAAGGGGCCCAGCTGCATTTATGTAAACTCTCTCAATAACCTTCTATCCTTCCCACAGGCAACTGTGTCCTGGATGCGTTACGTCAGTGTGGCATGTGTCATTGGCATCATTGCAGGATTCTGCATGGGACCAGGTACGTTTCTGGTGCCAGACAGAGGCATCCAAAGAAATAACAAGGCGACAAAGCTCCTCTTCAAGATCCCTGGGCACCAGCAAAGCTGTGGATAGGCTGAGATCACAGGAAACCTGGTCTGAGCTTGTGGCCCCCAAGAACAGGACTGTGAGGGAATGTAAGAAGTTTGCTGATAGGATTCAGGTTATTTTGGGTCTTACAGGAGATGCAATGAGTGGTGCAATGAGTCTTCTTCTTAGTGGGGTAGGAGAGCTGAAAATAATGCCAATATATTTCACATCTGGCAACCAATGTGCCCTTTTGGTTTGAGATTGTACATGGGAAGGCGAGTCTAAAATGCCTGAGGACACAAATTTTCATGGCCCTCTAGCAGCTATGGTGGCTCATTTACCAGAAGTAATGCACCGTATTTAGCGTTAACTCTGGTGTATATTTTGCTCTAGGAGGCTTGGTTTGGTCAGAATTGAGTATACACTTCCAGTGTTTAGGCTAAATACATGACTTCTGGAAAATGAGCCACCATAACCGCTAGTGGGATGTGGCTGGCACTGTGGTCTAAACCACAGAGCCTAGGGCTTGCCGATCAGAAGGTCGGTGGTTTGAATCCCCGCAACGGGGTGAGCTCCCGTTACTCGGTCCCAGTTCCTACCAACCTAGCGGTTCGAAAGCACGTCAAAGTGCTGTGGCAGGAAGGTAAATAGCATTTCTATGTGCTGCTCTGGTTCGCCAGAAGCGGCTTAGTCATGCTGGCCACATGACCCAGAAGCTGTCTGCAGACAAACACCGGCTCCCTCAGCCAGTAAAGTGAGATGAGTACCGCAACCCCAGAGTCATCCGCGACCGGACTTAGTGGTCAGGGGTCCCTTTACCTGGGTACTATCCAAAGGGACACATTGGTTGCCAGATGTGATTTTTAAAATCTCTCCTACCTCACTATTTGAATTGTCCTAAGTGCTGAGGACATTTATTTATTTATTTATTTAATAACAATTCTACACTGCTCTTGACCAATAATATGAGAATATAGACTTAAGAACGTAAGGAGAAACCTGCTAGATCAGGCCAATGGCCCATGTAGCCCAGCACCCTATTCTCACAGCATCCTATTCTCAACCAGATGCCTGTGGGAAGCCCGCAAGCAGGACCTGAGGGCTAGGACCACAGCATTCCCCCCCCCTTCTGATTCCCAGCATGTGGTATTCAGAGGCATACCCTGGCTTGGTTCTGGCATTTTGAGTACCCAAAGGATCATGGTCAGCAGGCCACTGGTGGGAATCTGAATCTGTCACCACCTGCCATGCCCTAAAACTGGTGCGGCATGAATTGCCTAACGGTGTCTTGCTTTGGATTTCAGAGGCAACTCCTGCGATTTCTGCTAACGAAAGGGCCAAAGCAGAGCTCTCTAAATATGATGGACGAGGCGGCTGCTGGTTTACCCAATTGATGTATTAGTATAGCCGCCAACAGATCCATAACTCATTGTCGGCCCAGAATTTATTCGCTGTAATTACATCTTTAATTAGGATTTTAATGGCTCATTGTTCACAAACAATGATGAATCTGACTTTTAAAATATAAATATCTCTCTTCCCACTCTGGGTGATCTGTGAGCAATGCTCAATCAGGGGTTTTTCTTAACAATCCCTGGATGGATTTCCCCCCAGTATTATTAAGGCTGGTGGTTCTTTTTAACAACAACAAGAACAACAACAACAAATATTATTATTATTTCAAGAAGCAGTCCCTTGTGTTCCTGAAAGAAAGTGGTGCTGCCTAAACTACCACCATGTAAAGAGGGCAGATCTTGATGCACTAGGGCAGATAGATCTGAAACCTTTCTGTTGCAGGAGCACAAGGTCTTGGCTCCTTCTGTTAAAGAAGTGTCTGTCATCAGCATCACCATATATATGGAAGTGTGTAGGGCTACGCTGAACCAGAGAGCAGTTTTGTGAATATCTTTATGCCCCTTGATAAGCAGTCCTTCACTTACAGCAATTAGAGGGGGTACTCAAAAGCATGCAGAAGTGTTTATGGGTTGTGGGGGGAGAGGGACCACATCTCTGTTGCCTTGGAAACTAGGCTGATAATCCTGCTTTGCTGCAGTTACGCTGCTTTGCCCTCACTCAGAAGCCCTCTTCCAGCTCTGGATGCACCAGAACATGTGTTGGAATGGGCATTCATGCTCGCAACCTACTGAGAGCAGCGTAGTGCAGACAGGCCACATCTTCACTCAGATGTGCATCCTGGTATGCATCCAAGTGCACATTCAGGTGTGGGTGTCACCTATTCAACTGATCTCAGTCGGATTTGCACTCAAACAAACATTTCCATGTGACTTCTGGCAGCCTAGATAGAGCCTGATTAGAGCAATGCAGCTTCGCGGGGCCTCCTCACTGTTTTTGTCACGTAGCCAAATCTGATTGGCTCCACAACATCATCACTTTTACTGCATCACCCGTGATTGTCTGAGATCTCTTGGGGTTTTTTAAAGGGAGTGACAAAGCAGCAATGGATTGAGTGAAAAGAAGTGCAAAAAGTAAAAGACAGGGAGTTTGATTAATGGCTTTTGCATCCTTTATAGTATGTGTTTTGCCCTGTTCTGGGGCCAAAAATGTGGCACAATTCTAACTTACTTTCTTTCTCTTTCTTTCTTTCTTTCTTTCTTTCTTTCTTTAAATCCATATACTGTTTGGTTGTAAAAAAACAAAAACAAACTCACAGCAGTTTATAAAAAGATAAAAATGTTAGATGAAAATTTGCAGCCATGCTTTAAAACATGCAAAAGTTAAAATGCTAAAACAGATTAAATTTAAGTGGTTGTCTGTGCAGGTGGTCTTCCAATTTGTCGCTGCAGGGGGCAGCAATGAGCAAAATAAATGCCCCCTCTTGTGCAACATTATTTAATGTCAATCTTAATAATTAAGATTTATTGCTGGGTTGTTTTTTATTTTTATTTTTATTATGTGTTTTGTGCTTTTGTGTTGTAGCTGCCCTGTGGGTATAGGGTGGTATACAAATTTAATAAATAATAATAAACATCTTTGGGGAACCTGATGATTTGAAATAGATTCACCCCTGCAAGGGTTATTTGCAGGTTCTGACTTTGATAGTCTGGCCCCACTAACAGGGGCTCGGATTAAAAGCCTAGCCTAGCCTATTTGATTCTGAGTGCCGTCTTTCCCATACAGCTGGGGTTCCATTTCTGATGACAGCTGAACTCTTCAAGCAATCGCATCGGCCATCGGCCTACATTGTGGGTGGGTCCCTCAACTGGCTCTCCAACTTCACTGTTGGCTTTGTGTTTCCCTTCCTGCAGGTAATACTGGGCCCCTTTGAGAGGCTGGTAGGCTCTGGGGTCCCCTGACTAGCAAGGCAAGAGAGCAGAATGCCTAGTGAAGGCATAGGCAAACTCCAGCCCTCCAGATGTCTGGGGCTACAATTCACATCATCCCTAGCCAACAGGACCAGTGGTCAGGGATGATGGGAATTGTAGTCCCAAACATCTGGAGGGTTGGAGTTTGCCTATGCCTGGCCTAGTGGTTCTCATGGCAGGTTCCTTCTAGCAGTGGTTGCAGGACACAGCACAGAGGAGAACCATATGCTGTATTTCTGTGTGACCTAGAACTTTCTACTAGAAATGGGGAAAGAGCTCCATAGGTACTGCATAGCTTAGTTCTTTCTCGGTAGTGGCGATGGGGTCATGCTCCAGCATTCTGAGTGGCAGAAAACACACGTTACAGTAGACCAGCCTTCCCAAGCTCATGCCCTTCAGACGTTCTGGACTGAAGCTCTCCCATCATTGTGGTCCATGCTGGCTGAGGCTGACAGGAACTGTAGCTCAAAACACCTGGAAGGCACCAAATAGGAGAAGACTGCCATAGCAAAGCTGGTGATGCCCCCATGGTAGCAACAAAATTAGTACCAAAAGAAACTAAGAGAGGGGGCAGTGTATCTTTCTGAACCTTTATTATATATTGCATAAAGCAGGGGTGGTCCTCCAGGGTAGGGTAGTGCCTTGCATGCAGTAGGTCACAGGATCTGTCCCAGGTAGCACTGAGAGTCAGGGACTGCCCACACATTAGACAAGGTGAAGCCATTTGCTTCAAGTAGCGGATCCGACCCCCTTGCCCTCTCCACCCTCCCATTGCACTGCTGCCAGCCCCATTGTCCTCATTGCTGCCACTACCCCCTTGTCGTTCCCCCATTTGCTGCTGCTGCTGCGTTCTGGCAGCAGCATGGGCACAACTGCAGGTGAGGGTGCCGTTGCTGTGATGGGCTGGCAGCAGGGAGGGGTGGGGACCTGGATCTGTGGAAGAGGGAGCGGAGCGTTTTGCCTATAGCGGCAAAATGTCTCAGACTGACACTGCTAGGAGTGGCTCTGACTTGAAACCCCGGAGAGCCTCTGCTAATCAGTGTAAATGGGTCTGAGCTGGATGAATCAATGGCCGGACTCAGTGAAAGGCTGCTTCCTATATTCCAGATGTTGTCGAACTCCCCTCCACAGCCAGTATGGCCAATGGCCAGCAAGATGGTGGGAACGGTAGTCTAGCAACATCTGGAAGGCCACCACATTGTCTACCCTCTGCTCTAAAGAAACACAAGACCAGTTGTGATCTTCGTCATATTACACGGAGAGAGAGAGAGAACCAGCAACAAAGCCATCTGGTCTTGACAAGTTATTCCCTAATCAGATCGCGTGGATGCGCCAAATGGCAAACCAATTCCATTGCTTTGTAAACACCATTCCCTGCCCCAAGACATGAAATCATTACATTCTGAAAGTACCAGGCCTTCTCTTATGTAAACAGCACTGGAAAGCCAAAGTGAAGGTTTCCTGTTGAAGGGTCAGAAAAGTAATCTAGCACTTCTTGACATACCAGTCGTATATGGTGAAGGTGTGTGTATGTAACTATGCTAATTCACTTCAGTCACGGAATTAAGAGTCTTCTGGTACTAAATTTTAGGACTGTGTAATCTAGATCAGGGCAGTCCAACTTTTTATAGCAAGGGGGCTACAATCAATAGTGGTGTGACATGGGACTCACAGGCCACACACTGCCTTGTTGCATGGGGGGAGGAGAGTGAGGCCAAAACCCCTCCCCCCTCGTGCTGCCTTCCCAAAGTCAGGTAAGCGAGGCACCGGGCTTGGGGATAAGGTGCAAGGCTCTGGCCAGGTCCTAGAGCCCTTCTACCTCCTTCCCAAAGCCCAGCACCTCACTTAACCAGCTTTGAGAAGGCATGGAAAGGGCTGGGGGAGAGCATTAAATGTTGCCAAGGGCCATCAAAAAAGGCCTCAATGGCTGTGCATTGAACCACCCTGATCTATATTATTAAATCCCCCACGGAGCCAGAAGGAAACACATTAAGAGGAAGGGGAAGAGCAATAGCACAGTGGTAGAGCCACAGATTGGTTGCAGAAGGTCACAGGTTCATTCTGCAGCATCTCCAAGTAGAGCTCAAGGAAAACCCTGCCCAAAACCCTGAAGAGCTGCTGCCAGTCGTAGACTGGAGTGAGGAACCTTAGTCCCAAGGCCCAAATGCAGCCCTCAAAGCATTTCTGTCTGGCCCTCAGAACTCTTCCCACACTGCACCTGATCCCCAGCCACACACCTTCTTCCCATGCCCTGCCTCTCACAAACTCTGCTTCACACCCTCTTGGGGTGTTTTTGCTTATACCCTGACCATGCCTTTTGTTGCCTGGATGGAGGATAGAGAGAGATGTATAAGTATGTTCAGAAACTAGCCTACTGTACAGTGGCAATATTTTTATTTGTTGCTTCACTCACTTTTGCCTCTTCACACCAAACACCTTCCATGTGGCAATATTTATATTGGTTGCTCTACTCACTTTTGCCTCTTCACACCCAACACCTTCCATGTGGCTTCCAGGAGGAAATGCTGAAAAGGGTTCTCCAACCCTCGGTGTAAACAATACTGAGCTAGACAGACCAATTGCCTGACTTCATGTAAGGCGTCTTCCTATATTCCTAAGAGGCCTTAATAGGTAAGAAGAGAACCTGTGATCGTGAGGAATGGGAGATGCTGGGGTTTGCTAACAGAGAGGGTGCCCTAAACACTCAAAATGCTGGAGGCTGCTTCTTAGTGCACTGAACCAACCAAATGGATGAGGACTGGGTAGAGCCTGTTTGTGTCCCTCTGCTTATCTGGACTCTTCTTTGTTTCCATTCCCAGATGTCTGCTGGTGCCTTCTGCTACTTGGTCTTTTGTGGCGTCTGCCTTTTGGTGGCACTGTATGTCTATTTCATCATCCCCGAGACCAAAAACAAGACATTTATGGAAATCAGCCACATGTTTGCCTCTCGCCCCTCCTTCCTCTCCAGCTTGCCGGATTCTGTCAAGATGATCAAGTTCAATGGTTATGGTGCCCTGGAGAACAGCTCCCTGGAACTCTCTGGCTCAGGATCCAACCCTCCATGATGATCTCCCATTCAGTGTTTTGGGGGTTCATTTCTCCTATTGTGGGGAAGCCACCTCAGTGAAATGGCAAAGGGAGACAATAATACTGATTCTCTTCCTGTAACTTCTTTCATCTTGCCTGGACCAGCAGCACAAAAGGGACCGGGGGGAAGATTTGGGGAGAAGCATCTAATTTAAACCTAAGAAGTCTGACTCTGCCCCCAGGTATTTTGGGTGCACTTCTGTCCCAAATCCTTTCTTCCTCCTTCACTGTCTTCTTCTGAGGGCCGGAAATTAGTAGCATTGAGGGATAGCTATCCTCAGGAACTTGGTTTATACACACAGTTTTTTCAGAATGTCATGAATGGGACTCATCCTCTTTCCTTTAAGGCATTTTGAGGATTTTTTGGAGATCTCCTCACCTGCTTCCCGATTTTTCTGGTAGTCATGCCAACACATGACTGGAAATCCTATTGAGAGATCACCAATAACAAGTCTTCCCAGCAGTGCTGCAACTAAACAGCAATGTCTGAACCACACCAAAAGACAAACTCAGTACCTGTAAGAGCACATATACATTCCACATGCCACTATGTCCCAAAAGGCAAAGACAGAAGTCAAATGCCCATCCAGTCACTGATTTACTCCCTAACAGAGCAAGAGCAATACACTGCTGGGACATTCCACTCAACACTGATTCATTCATAACAAAACTATTCCAGGGACAGGGAACTTGTAACCCTTCAAGCTCAGTATGACATACACCAGAGATGAAGAATCTGTGGCGCTCTAGATGTTGCTGGACTACAATTTCTGTCACCCCTGACCTTTGGCCATGCTAGATTGGACTGATGGGAATTGGAGTCCAACAACAGCAGGCGGGCCACAGGTTCCCTCATCACCTCACAGAACCTGAGGTTATTTCCAGACCACCTGGTTATTGAGGATTCATTCTGATTTGTTGTACAATGCTTCCGAGTCGTGTTTTCCAGGTTGCTTCCCTCCAACCCAGCCCTAGAGATTGAAAATAAAGAGGAATCTTTTGGGTTTGTGTTCTGAGAAGTGTGAATTTTGAAGGATAGCTGTGACTTGGTTCATTAATTGGTTAGAGATGGCAGATTAGGCAGTTTTTCATTAAAATGCAAGCAAAATTGAATTTCTTCTTTATTCTAAGCTGGGCCCTGTCAGTGCTTGAATGGAATCACCTGAGAACCATATGTAGGCTGCCTTGAGTTCCATGAAGGAAGAATGGAAGGGAATCCCATTAATAAATTAAATTAGGGTGGTGGATGGGGAAAGGGTTAAGCACACCCTCCCCTTGTCGGTTCTCTGCTTTGTATCACCTGTTACCAGAACAGTTTTTTTGTGGGAGCCAGAGGTAGAATTGTTACATGCACTTCATTTAGCATCTAGTTCAGCCAGATGAACTCTTTCCAGAGTTGTAGTTATTATTTTATTAGAAAATTTGTAATCCACTCCTTCATAAAATATAACAAGGTGGCTTACAGTAAAATACAGTAGAATCAACCTATAAATATAAGTGAAGCATAATTAAAAACATCAGTACATACTGGTTCATTTAAAGAAAAAAAATCCTGTCATGAAGGCCTGTCTAAACACTGCAGTTTTCAGGAGACACCTGAAAGATGGCAGAGACGATTCCAGTTGGAGTTTGCAGGTAAGGCGTTCCACAGGGCTCAGTCCCTCATGGAGGCCAACCAAACTTAGGTTTACATCAACCCTCATGTTATCATTAAGCGAGAGACAGGGTGGTGTAATGGTTGGAGACTGGAGGTTCAAATCCCAAAGTTCTGCTGGGTGACCTTGGGCCAGTAGCTCCCTCATATATATCTGCTTCCTAGGGTTGGTGTGATGATAAAATGGAAGGCGGGCCAGACGTGGCATTTTGTACTTTCTGGAAGATGGGTGCATTTGGGTTTTGGGGGTTTTTTTTACACAATAAATAAATAATTTGTACACACAGAGAATGGAAAGTTTTACAATGAATGACCACTAGATGTCCCTGTTGGTCAGTAATCTCAAGTGGATGCTTTCAGTAAAACTGAGCTGCCTGAAGCTGCAATCCTAACTTTACTAGCCTACATCTGCACCATGGATTTAAAACACTATCATACCTCTTTAACAGTCATGGCTTCCCTCAAAAAATCCAGGGGACAGTAGTTTGTTAAGGGTGCTGACAGATTTTAGGAGACCCCTATTTGCCCACCCTCCTACAATTTCCAGCGCTATTTTTCTAGAAAAAGAGGTGCCAGAACTCACCATGATTTCTTCCCTTGTTCTCTCATAATGGCGCCCACCTGAGAGATTCCAGAACTGAATTCCAGTGAGTTCCGGCTTTAACAATCAATCCGTCTTCACAGGGAACTGGGAATTCTAAGTCTCTGAGGGGAATAGGGTGTCCTAACAACTATAAGCATCAAACTACAGTTCCCTCCCAGCGCTCTCTCCCTCTTCCTCACCTTGGTGTCCAGCCCCAGCTTCTATTCAGAATTCTGGCAGATTTTCTCCTGTGGTCAGCACAGAATGGGGAATCCTCAGGAGATGTTGACAAGTAGGAAGGAGAGACGGGGACAGATTCCTCACCTCTAGACTCTGAATTCCGTCTAGTGTGTCAGGAAGATGGAGAACATGACTGGGGACTTGATGGGCCATTGTGGGTGCCATGGCACCCATGTCAGTGAAACAGGGGCCTGACTGGGTCACAGGCAGCTTCCCACATTCTGTGCACAAGGCCCTAGGATTAATCTTCAACACTGCCAGTTGAAAGGATCTCAGATACAGGGCCAGGGAAGACTTATGCTGTAGTGCGGCAGGGACATGGGATGGAAGCTGAGGGAACCACACCTCTTCCCTTTGGGGCCTTTTCTTGGGAGCACAACAGAAGTGACATCCAAACCCAGGTCTTTGTGGCTTATCACAGCTCACATGCTGACTCCTATGCTTCACTGAGGAGCCCTGAGGGAGGGAAAGGTTGGCAACTCAAGCAGGAAGGAGTCAAACCAAGTTTCCCTTCTGTGTCTATAGTTGGCTCAGCCCCAGCTTCCCTTGAGACTCCTTTTCCTCACTCATTCTCCCTCCCACTATTAACTGCCTTTTCCTGCTCAGCCATCATGTTCTTCTGTGACATCCAGTCCACTGTCAATGGCAACAACTGGGGAAGCATCAGTACGAACCCCCCACCCCAGGCATGATCATCATTTTATTTGTATGCCGCCTTTCCACAGTTAAAACAATGCTGAAGGCGGCTTACGATATGAAAAGATTTACATAATTACAAACATAGCAAAGTAGTCCTAAAAATAAACACATTAAAAACTACATAACCAAACTGAACAATTTCCACATAAAAATAAAGATACAAACAGTTAACATCAGTAATATCAGTTAATATCAGTAAGAACAGCAAAAGCTCCCCCCAAATACCCCAGTTCTTGCTGGGCAGCAGCCACAGTCCTTATGAGGCCAGGCAAGCCCCGCCCTGGGCCACGTGGATAATCATGGGAGGACACCAACAGTGATTTATTTGTTTATTTCTTATTTATTTCTCACCCAGCACACCCTTCATGTCTAATGATACCAACTCAAATGCATGATATCCCGTTACATGAGGAAAAATATAGAATGACCAGTATATGCATTTAGAAATATAAACTGGCTTGTTCAAGCCCTGCAGTTCTCTCCAATACTTTCGTGGGTGGTCTTGAGAAAAACTCACTGGCTTCAGACATCCCTGTAAAAGGGATTTTGTAACAACCAGAAGAAAAATGGACAATGAGTGGACTAGCTGCCATCTGGCAGCATTGCCCAGGCACCTCCACTCCTAGTTTCTGCCTGGTGACGTCATCTGCTAACTTCAGTCTGCCAACTTCCAGGGCTTTCATCTATTCATCTTTCACACATCTCATTCATGCACATGTACACACCATTTCACCTTGACCACATTCGAAAGCTCCTATTCATTCATTCATTCATTCATCCAGAGAGACATACACCAGCAAACATCCATGAAGAACACCAGTGAACACATCCAACCCTCATTCATTTACTTTTGTGCCCTGGCTTTATTCCACAAATATCCACCCGCTGCTGTTAACTGGCTCCCGAAGGTGAACTTCAACCAGCTTATATTCACAAATATCAACCTGCTTCAGCCTTGCAGCATCCACCAGCTTCTGAATGTGAACTTCGCCAGCATCTACCCACTGACATTTGCCAGCTATTGTTAGGTCCAATGCTAGACATCAGCAAGCCATGGAAATCAGCAGCCTTCAAGCTGCAATCCCACCCAGCAAACAAACTTGCCTTATTATTTCTCCATAGCATCCTGCTGCTAGCCTTCTATTCTCCAGTGTTCCTTCTCCAAGTGGGAAAAAGGGGCACTGCTGAATGTCACAGTTGTGTCCTGCTGGGGAACAGAGAAGGGCTTTCCCCTTGGCCTGCCTTTATATTCACTCAGCTGCTCAGTGCTTTTGTGACATCATAAGCAGTTTGCAACCAATGGCAACAGCTGTGCAGGTATCATCTTCATCTCCTCAGACCTCACAATCGTGGGTGCACCTCAGCAATGATTCAGTTGTGTGCCTGTCTGTATGTCAGTGTTGGCCGGGTACAGAAGTAGAACAACAAATGTTTCGCACACACACATTTTCTTGAGTCCTAAAGATCTGGGCAAATGAGAAGCAAGGTGGGCCTGAGCAGGAAAATGTATTCCTCTCTCAAAGGATAACATTGCACAAGATTGCTGTATCCCCAACCTCTCCCCACCTGTATCAATAATATACACATTATGAATGTGCATTGGGAATGACACTGATGCACAGGAAAATCTGGCATGGATGGGAGCGAGGATCATATTTGTAACTTTGGCCAGGTTTTTGGTGTCATCATACCAGAACTGCCCTTCATTAGAACTGCTTTGTATCATTTTAGGCCAAGTTCCAACCTGTTTCAGCAACAGAGACATAGCATTTGCAATAGTATTGGCATGCCTAGGTAATCAT